TGCAAGGCTTACTGCATGCCACCAGCTGTATTTTTACATACATCTATGTTAATTCACAGTCTGGTGGTGAAATTGGCCTGTAAATGTCGGCCTTGCAGTCCTGGTGGACATAATTAGCTAAAACCAGCACCGTGAGGAAGCGCATATAAAAGTCTGGTTTGTAATTAGCTGCCTCCTGCTCTCTGGGAGAGAAAAAATTAATGGAATAACGGGGAAAACTTCAATAGCTGATGAACATCATTTGCTAATAAAGCCTCCGAACTGAATGAAGTAAGGGGTGGTTGCGTAAGAGCCTGTTAATTTGTCATGTTTGTATTTCGTAATAGGCTCAACGTTTTTGCAGTGGAGGATACGTGAGAGTGGGCTTTTGCATATGTCCGCCTGGTCACGCGTGTCTCAAGTGCCCTTGCCTCGACGCCGCGTGTCAGAGGTCACGTGGCTGCAGGAAGCGCGGGGTCTGCGCTGACCAGCAGTGCCAGAAATGACATTGTGACAGTCGGCACTGTAACGAGTGTTGACACTCCAATCTGGGTGACTGCGATTGGTCCTCCAGGTTTGATTATAACTTCGTATTACTGTGCCAGGGCATTGTGGGTAGTGGGGTTAGACTAGCGCCCTTGCTGTTGAGTGGTTTGCTGTGTTTAAATCTTCATTAACCCTGGCGTTTTCCCCAAGGAATAATTTTCCTCCATGTTCCCTTGTTTTTGTCGCGCTTGGGGGAAATAATCAGATGTAATTGGGTAGTTTGACCCTGTAGTTTATCATTTGGTGGCTGGGTTTGCAAGGCTTACTGCATGCCACCAGCTGTATTTTTACATACATCTATGTTAATTCACAGTCTGGTGGTGAAATTGGCCTGTAAATGTCGGCCTTGCAGTCCTGGTGGACATAATTAGCTAAAACCAGCACCGTGAGGAAGCGCATATAAAAGTCTGGTTTGTAATTAGCTGCCTCCTGCTCTCTGGGAGAGAAAAAATTAATGGAATAACGGGGAAAACTTCAATAGCTGATGAACATCATTTGCTAATAAAGCCTCCGAACTGAATGAAGTAAGGGGTGGTTGCGTAAGAGCCTGTTAATTTGTCATGTTTGTATTTCGTAATAGGCTCAACCTTCAGCGCTTTGTAAGCAAAACAAACCGCTTTGCACGTAGGGGCTCTTTTCTTGTCATTTCATAAAGCATTGATGAAGTAGAACTTCTCGTCCTTAGTTTTGGCACGTTGCTGAAATCTGCACTCAAATTCATGATTTGCAACCGCAAGTCTTAATGAGCTCGTTCTTGCTTCATGATTCTCTGCCCTCTGTCTCTGGCGGCGTTGCTCAAATCTAGCCAATACCGCCTGTCATCCGTGAAGTACAGAGGTCATTGTGACCTTCTCACGGGTGGGTAAATAGGTTACCGACCCATCATATGATTTCTATAACAAGAATATGATACATTTGACAAAGAATTGATTGGAAGAAACGTTTCAAGCAAGAAGATTCAAACACACACATACTAAACATGAATATGAACCCTTAAGCTATTCAATAGTTATTAAAAAGACATACACAATAAGTGATTAGAACATGATAGTCAAATGTGTGGGTTACATACATGATATGGAGTTAAGCAATGGACTGATATTCGTTTATAAGTCTTTTTGAGTTCATTTTGGTGCATCTACATCTGTAAAAGACAGTTTCTGTGCCATTCTGTGAACATAAGGACATGTTCTATGAAGACCAGAGGTTAAAGGGTCTTTTAAGGAATCTCAGTCTGGTCTTTGTCTTCTAGGTGGGGGAAACCACCCAACGCAGTTTCTACTAATGATTTTCCTCATGTGATGGTCATGATATGCTGTGTCTTTGACCATTAATCTTGGTTACTTGCCCCAAATTTGACAATCTCCTTCCTGAGTTGTTCTTTTGTGTTAATGTTGCAAGCTGTTCTGTGAAAGAGTTGGTTGGTTAGGCTTGCTTCAGACTCGTGGTGCCAGGATCTGATTTACGAACATCCTGTTGCCTTGGGCCTTTCTGTGGAATTCGGCTCCTCGTGTTTCAACCATGTTCTTGATCGAATCTTAAATTGTCTGATTCGGTCTGATACACTACAATGACTATGTGACAAAATAAAAGCCCTTATTTAAAAAAAGCTAAATTAGGCCAAGTTTTACTTTATTTTCTGCTTGCCGAAAAAAGACAGCCTGGTTGCCTGCCTCGGGTGCAGTGACTTATGGGTATTGTAGTTCTTCTCCCTGGCTCACTGTAGTGTTTGATGCATATAACTCTCTTGGATGTTGATTAATTTGGCAGGTAAAGTTCAGTGTGTTCCGGTATGAACTGGGACTATACGTTTGCTTCTTTCCCTTGGGCCCTGTGTGTTTGTGCGTGTATGCACTCTGGGTGTTGATGGGGATTCGCTCTCACTGGGTGGAACACACTCTATTGGAATTGACACGCTGTCACCTTTCATCAGCGTTTGGAACAGCCCCCTTCCCTGAACTCAGTGTGTGAGAGAGGCAGTTTTTATGAATGTAACTCTGCTGTATCTTTAGTCCCTGAATAGAAGTCTGACCTCTCCTTGAGTGCTCAACACAACAGGCACAGACACACTAATATACTATTGACAAATAAACTGCTGCTTACAATGACTGATACTACTAATAATAAAGCAATAAACCACTCGATAGCATGCATTACAGTGACTTCAGCCAAGGTCATGGCCTAAACTGTTCACTGAGGTAAAATCGCACAACCTTAAGTGGTTTATTTTATGAATAAAAATACACTAATGTTCAATAAACAGTTACTAATAACTATCATTATTTAATATTATTTTATAACATTTATATATATAGAATCATAAAATGTATTTAAACTATTCTTCCCCATTTTCCCTCATTCGATTACTGTTTTTAACTCAGACAAGCTTGTCTTTCCCCATTTTATCTGCAAAAAAATCCTCAATTATTTAATATTATTTTTTTGGCATTGCAAAGGATTTTTATCTGCAATAAAAAAAAAAAAAATTAAGCATTGCGTTAGCAGCGCAAAAGGTTGTGGGTTCGATTCCCAGGGAACACACATACTGGTAAAAAATGTATAGTCTGAATGCACTGTAAGTCGCTTTGGATAAAAGCGTCTGCTAAATGCATAAATTATTTTTTTAATTATTAAATTATTTGAATTTTACAATTGATAATATTTCTTTAACATTTACACATTCCCTATGGTACTGTGAACTCTTGGTTACTGTTGACATTACAGTGACTTGAATAAGTATAAATGTATCATCTGTATCCTCTATGGGCACTGTGTTTTTCAGAATTTTTCCATGGTTTCTAACAGGCTCATCCAATCAGAGTCTCTCATTAGCCCATGTTAGACGCTCATGTTTCTGCTTCTGTAGATGTCTGCCAATGTGTTTTTTTGTCATTTGAGGATTGTGGTTAGCGTGCAACAAAGCTGTCGTTTCACTCGTTCCGTCTCCCACTCTGTCACACTTGTATTTTGTGGCTTATTGCTATGGATTTAGGCCACAGGCAGCTCAATGACAGAATACGTCACAAATCCTTTCTCTTCATGACCTCGCCCAGCAGCAGTCATATACCTGCACTCATGTGGAACAAACAAGAATGGTTGGTTGCTCACAGAAGGTCATTTGCCCAGGGTGCAGTGTGTCTCTGAGTCATTTTGTGTGTTTGTGGCTTCTTTTGTGCTTTTGCAGTGGAGGATACGTGAGAGTGGGCTTTTGCATATGTCCGCCTGGTCACGCGTGTCTCAAGTGCCCTTGCCTCGACGCCGCGTGTCAGAGGTCACGTGGCTGCAGGAAGCGCGGGGTCTGCGCTGACCAGCAGTGCCAGAAATGACATTGTGACAGTCGGCACTGTAACGAGTGTTGACACTCAAATCTGGGTGACTGCGATTGGTCCTCCAGGTTTGATTATAACTTCGTATTACTGTGCCAGGGCATTGTGTGTAGTGGGGTTAGACTAGCGCCCTTGCTGTTGAGTGGTTTGCTGTGTTTAAATCTTCATTAACCCTGGCGTTTTCCCCAAGGAATAATTTTCCTCCATGTTCCCTTGTTTTTGTCGCGCTTGGGGGAAATAATCAGATGTAATTGGGTAGTTTGACCCTGTAGTTTATCATTTGGTGGCTGGGTTTGCAAGGCTTACTGCATGCCACCAGCTGTATTTTTACATACATCTATGTTAATTCACAGTCTGGTGGTGAAATTGGCCTGTAAATGTCGGCCTTGCAGTCCTGGTGGACATAATTAGCTAAAACCAGCACCGTGAGGAAGCGCATATAAAAGTCTGGTTTGTAATTAGCTGCCTCCTGCTCTCTGGGAGAGAAAAAATTAATGGAATAACGGGGAAAACTTCAATAGCTGATGAACATCATTTGCTAATAAAGCCTCCGAACTGAATGAAGTAAGGGGTGGTTGCGTAAGAGCCTGTTAATTTGTCATGTTTGTATTTCGTAATAGGCTCAACCTTCAGCGCTTTGTAAGCAAAACAAACCGCTTTGCACGTAGGGGCTCTTTTCTTGTCATTTCATAAAGCATTGATGAAGTAGAACTTCTCGTCCTTAGTTTTGGCACGTTGCTGAAATCTGCACTCAAATTCATGATTTGCAACCGCAAGTCTTAATGAGCTCGTTCTTGCTTCATGATTCTCTGCCCTCTGTCTCTGGCGGCGTTGCTCAAATCTAGCCAATACCGCCTGTCATCCGTGAAGTACAGAGGTCATTGTGACCTTCTCACGGGTGGGTAAATAGGTTACCGACCCATCATGTGAATGTGAAAGGATTATCAACAAATGCAATGTTCACACTGATGCTAGCAGATTAAACCACTCAGATTTTGTTCGGTCTGAGGTGTTAATAGGTTTAAGTGAACATGAAATCAAAATTAACCCCACTTACTTAATAAACAAAATGTTATGTAGCTGTGATGTATTGGTAATTTTTAGATCCCGGTTTAAACTGGAAAATGTTTTTTTTTTTTTTGTCAACAGCTCTGGGCCAATTATGAAGAGAAACCAAAAGAAGAGGTGGCTCAGCTCACAGAGGAGAAGGAACGTGTGGCGAAATACAGAGCCGTCTATGTCACCGAGATCACAGATGGACTGCACTTCTACGCGCAGGATGTGGAAACCGGTGGGTGCTGCACTCATTTCTAAAACCAATGGAGAAACAGTGGCGTCCATGCAAACGTGGTCCAATTAGTCCCTGCTGGTACATGCTGTAACTACAGGCAAAAAGCATCTTACTCCATTGACAGACATTCAAAAAATTATAAAAAAAAAAATTTTAATTATGAATTTGACATCATGGTTCAAAATAGTTGCTAGTGAAGGATTTGTGTACATTCTTTTTATTTTCATGTCATTGTCCTGCAGCTCTAGAGTGTTTAGTCATGTGACATTAATGGCTTAGGTGATTTAAAATGATGAAAAAAGCACAAAGATATCAGAATGCAAGTCATATTCTGCAATTGTAAATGGGAATGCTAACACATGGCATTTTACTGATTAAACAGTCAGCAGCAAAAAGCCGTCTGAATCACATAATTTAAATTGGCTTCCTTCGTTATGTTTCGATGACGAGCTCTCAGGGTTTTACACTAATGGGCATCTAATCCAACTCCACATTCAACCAGGCATGATTATGACATCATACCTGAAGGGCTTTCTTCAGACTCCAGATATGATGATTATTAAATGTAGCCGCTCCAGCAAATTCCAGTTAGGAAACATTGCAGGTTGTGTGTGTTGCCCTCTAAATGCCCCGAGTGATCTCTGTGCTCAGTGTGATAGCAACTAGTCATTAAACATGACATCTAAATTGCCCTTAGTAGTGACCTAGTCCATGATATGGCAGCCGTCCTGAGATTCAAAGAGCTGTTTTAGTGAACAAACACTTTTTCTCTCTTCCATTCATATTTTCATATAATCTTGTATACATGCGCGCGCACACACACACCAGAAGAAAGATCCTAATTATGCACACACACTGTTGCTGTTGTTTGTTGCATAATTAGGGTCTCGCTACATGTTCCAGTGGCAGACTTCATTGGCAGGACCATAAAATTGACTTCCGTTGTCTCTTAATGCGTCTTAATTCGCAAATTAATTAATTTGCATGAATTTATAATAAATCTGAGGCTTGCATTGCCAGGAGCGTGACAATCCTATCGCTTTTAGTGTGCCGTTTGGCTTCAAATAGCTCCATCTCAGAGACCTGTAGGTGTCGAAACACGTTGAAAAACAATTAAGGGAAAATGTTAAAGAAAAGGGTGAGATTCTGGCCACCCTCAATGTATGACTTTAGTCCCTCAGATGACCTTTAACCCCTGCAGGTTGCCCTGAGAGGAAGTGAAGACGGCTGTGCCACGTCTAGTAACCATCACACCAATGAATTCCAGCAGCAAGTCACACACACACATACACTCAGCTCTTTGTGAGGTAATTATTCAGGTTATCTGGTTAGCTGCAGGAGAAAAGCAGGTCACAGCAAATATAGTGCAAAAACGGAGGGAGACGTGAGATAGAAAACAGGAAGTAGTGAGAGAAGATAAGACAGAAAAACGCTGAGCTGAATATGCAGTATGTTTGCAGCTTTGCACTGTTTTAGCTTTTTAGTTGTGTTGCTTTTTTAAGGGCTTTTTTTTGTTGTCAGATGAACCAGCGAGTGTGCATCTTTTCCCTTGTTTAATTGGCCAATGTTTTCCACTGAGAGGATTGGAAATGGAGATGGAGAGAGAGAGATGTGCTCGTTAGAGAAACAGGATTGTTATTTTCAGCTGAAAGTCATTCCTCTTTCTCTCTCTCACACTCTCTCCAAACTGCATTAAGGAGGTCTCATTCCTTGTAGAGCACTTCAAAGCAGAGCCCTATAAAAACCTACAAGCCAGTCGCTTTGCAATTTCATTACCGGTTTCTCACAGTAGCTTCAGAAAGACAGGAAAATTTGAACAGGGCGGGCACGATTTTCATAAACACTTTGAAGACGAGCCTTTTGATTATGACATAACTTTTTATGTCTACAAATTTCGCATCTAATAATTCCACTTTCTTCCCTTATGGTGGTCTTGCAGAAAGGAATGTTGGAGTTTCGTATCATTTGAATTTCAAAAATTCTAATAATACTAAAAGATAAAAGTCATCACTGTGATATCAGATTGAATATACAGTGTGGATGTCAGGAGTTCATGTGAAGGTCTGATTTATTATAAGTGTGAATAATAGAGGACTGTTCACATTCATAAGTATAGAAAGCACTTATAAAGCTATATATAGAGAGAGAGAGAGAGAGAGAGAGAGAGAGAAATACTATAAAAATATAAAAGTATATAAATAATAGATAGAAAAAATATTTTTAAATTTAATTATTTTTTTTTATTATTTATAAATTATACATTTATGAACACTTTTTTGTTTATTAGTGCATTTATGTATTATTACCATATTAAAAACAAATTCTGTGGCATTTTAACATTACACACTTCATCTTTACAGAGGATAAGAGCAATCACGTTCTTAAGCTTAGACAAGAACAGAATGATCGTAATGGATCATAATTTCACCATCTGATGGGCAGATAATAGTAGCCCATTACCAAAGTGGTTGCAGAGTGCACTGACTTGCTTTAAAAAGAACTCTGATTCTCAGATTCAGTTTTGATTATTTTGCAGTTGTTTTTACAGATTGACTGTTTTTGTTATCATGAAACTGGTAGTGCATGCATTAATCAGTACATGAGCTGCAGAGCCAATCAACTCTTCATTCATGTTTCTGACGACTTCAAACCAGATCTGAAGAGACGTATGTAATATTTCTGCTTGTGTCACACTGTAATTCAATCCAGTCACGTCTGCAACGTGTGTTTAGCCACTGTCTTTATGTCAGTGTAAATAACAGATCAAATCAAGATTTGATCAGAATTCTGAACACGTCTGTAACCTCTGCATAGTTATTTTTCCCTGCGACTCAAACTCGGGCTGTTACACAGAGTCGTGTCAAGTGAAAATAAACAGCTCTGATTGATTTTGTGGTATCACAGGGCTGAAGCTGCCATCTCTTATGAGCACTGCGCAGTCTGCGGTTAATGCACAGCCCGACGCTGTGATGATTTCAGCTCACGACTTCATTTAAAAGACTCTAAACACCCACAAATCGCCCTGATAGCATCTCCGGTTTCCAGCACCCCATGCAGAGCAGGGAAAAGCTGGCACACTTTCTCTCTCTCTCGCTCTCTCTGTCTCTATCAATTCTTTTCCTTTTCTCGGTGTTCTTTAATTAGTTAGATTTAATTACTCAAAGTGTGGGATCAGTAGTGAAACGGAATTCCTTGGGCAAAGGAACGTCTGTGTGTATCTCCAGAGGCCGTGTGTAATTTCTCTCTGGGGTGGGGAGCTGTGTAGTTGTGTAACTGAAACCTCAGTAAAGTAATGAACACTTTCGGTTACCCGCACTGACAGATTAGTTTGGGCATTAGCATCAGCAAACCCGTCTGTAACAGGCACATTAGCTGCTGTTTGTCTTCAGCTGGTGGAAAGTAATTCAGAACAGAGATGGGTTTGTCACCTTGTGTAGATATTTGGGAGTATAATTACGTGTCAATTTGCAGTGAGTATAATTATGTATGGCAGGTTTGTCTCCTGTCTTTATTTTTATGTGATTTTTATTTTTCCCAGCACTTGATACTGTCTGGAACGGTAATGAAAAACCTGGAAATACTAGGGAATTTGACCACTGTAATTTAAAAAATTTGTCATGGAGCCCTAAATTAAATATTGATCATTTTTATGAACCTTTTTAGATTTATTTTTACATTGCAACATTAAAATAGTATTGTAGTTTCTTTCCATGTTTTTTGTAATAATTTTAATATAAATGTCATGTTTTTTTTTTGTTTTTTGACTGTTTAACAATTAAATAGTATTGTAGATTCTTTCCGCCCTAAATTAATATATTTTATATACATTTTGTATAACATTAAAATAGTATTGTATTTATATTTTAAATGAATTTATTTTAATTATTGCATGACATTAATAGTTTTGTAGATTCTTTCTGCCCAGTTTTTTATATTTGAATATTTTTATATAAATTGTGTGTTTTTATTTACTGTATGACATTTATGCTTTGCATTTTTGTATTTGCATATCATTTATAAATTAATTTTGTCTTATTTGTGTTACATTATATTTATAACCTAAAAAGAGATTTGCAGATTTTTTCAAATTGTTATTTTGCTCTTTTAGTGTCGCGTATGTTGAAAGGGCACTTTTTTTCTTTAACTTTTAATTTCATTTATTATTTATTTTATTTATCATACATGGTAAACTTAAAAATAGTCAAACTTCAATGTTAATACCTGGAAATATTTACACTTACACGTCCTTCTAAATGTTATGTTTGTAGTGTTTTGTTTTGTTTTGTTTTCCTTGAATTACCATTGGTCCACCCCACCCATCTTCCTTCGGTCAATTACTTGCCCCTAACCAGCAGAGACTGTGAGATACTGTACATCTGTTTGATAATTCTGGTTGATGAGTGTCTTGGGCAGTGGTGGTATTAGTTTGGCTGGTGGGGGTAGAGGGGCCGTCTCTGGCACACAGCTTAATGACTCGAGTGGTTCCCTTACCAAGTGCCAGTTTATACACATCCACCACCGCTCACCCCTACATGCAACAGCTGTTTTACACCTAATGAAGGCCAGCCCACTCGCCTAGCAGGGGGAAATGTATTTTTCCAGCTTCGCCTTAATTTGTGCTCACTGTTCCCATAAACATTCACCACTGGACAACATTCTGCATCCATTTCACACCGTGCTGTTGGTCTTGGGGGAACGCTGGTACTTTGTATTGATTTCAGCAGTGGAGGGGAGTCTGTAGGCGTGGAGGTGCGAGCCGCAGTGTGAAGCACTCTTGATTAGCACTCGAGTGTAGTCTGAACATCTCCTGAAACCCTGTTCTGTAGATTTAGAGAAGCTTTAGGTAATTGTGTCTGTAATATTCATGACTTTGATTCAGGATATATTCATACATACAGTGCCATTCAAAATTTGGGATCATTAAAGAAGTTTCTTATGCTCATCAAGGCTGCATTTATTTGATCACAAATACAGAAAATAATGTAATTTTGTCATATTAT